AATTACGCCTGTGTACGTACTGATTTTTTTCTTTTCTTTTTTTTATGGAACTGAATTTAAGTTTATGCTTATGTTACAAAATTAGTAAATTATATTGCTATTAAAAATTTAAATTGAAAACACACAAAAAGACATAAGAGAAATAAATACATTCCTTACTGTTCTATAATTACTGTTTCCAGAAAACTAATAGTTTAGTTCTATGACAAAAAATCTGTGCAAGGCTGCAAACTGAAACACAACTGTGTGAGGCTTCAATGTATTGTTGTCAGCTTGTAGTGTACTGCTATAATAATAATCAGCCTTCTTTTGGTTTAACTTAGGCTACAACTAAAATTTACAGCATGAAGTCATTTTAGATCTGACTTCTGACTCCAAAATTACCCCAAGAATTATTTCCCACAATTTTACTAATTTTTTTATTTGTTCGAGAAATAAAATGATACATGATATTTTCGTAGAAATTCACTTTTATATCAACATTTCTCTCAGTCTAACTGGATGGTTCTCAGTCTAACTGGATGGTAAAGATACACACACAAATCCATCATGGCTACCACATACATCTGAAGTTAAATATCTAAGAATTATTTTTTTTATTTAACCTTTAGATCTCACTGAGATTAAAAATCTCTTTTTCAAGAGAGACCTGGCCAAGAACGGCACCAGCACACAGACATTACGAAATTCAAAACTACAAACATTAAACTACAATCAAATACTTCATGATAAATTTACAAACACGTCTTAAACTGATTAAGAATGGCCCTAAAAACATTAAATGAGACAAACTCCTGCAAGTCTTTCTGCAGTAGATTCCAGGCTGGCGGAGCAGCAAAGTGGAAGGAGCTTTTGCCATAATCAGTGCGAACCGTCCTGTTAATAAAATGAACTTATCCGAGTGCAAAACATGTTTTCCTTTATTTTTCTTATTGGTATAGCACAGGAGGTAAGAGAGAAGTACAGCCACGATTGCTTTGTAAACAAGAACATGCCAATGAACAAATCTGCTGGTGGATAAGGCATTTAACACAGCTTTTGTATGAATAAAATACAAAGCCTATAACATAAAATGATGCAATTCTGATAAAATATATAATTCATAGAACAGTACACTTCCTGTACATTTTTTTCTTTATTAGCTTACGTTGCTGTCTTTTCTGTAATATTTTTGTCCTTTGTGCCACCTTTAGGTCACCAGAGCCTTGGCTCAGGAAACACCTGGCAGCAGGAGGCCACACGAAGCTGTCTCTCCCATTCTGCCGGATGAAACATCAATTATTCAGCTCCCTGTAGATGTGGGACAAGAGGAGGTCAGGAGACTTTCTCCCTTCACGCTGTGGAGGATTGGGACTTGCCAGATGGCTCATCGTAATCATCATCATTGTCGTGGAGCTCATAACGAGTTCTTATCGTCGCCGACACACGGCTTCGGAGATGGCTGATGAGTCACGCAGACGCACTCGTGTGTCAAACACCTCTGTGTGATTTCCACTCAGATGTGAACGTACCAACACACACACACACACACACACACAGACACAAAAACCACACAGGAGGCCGCTGAGACATTTCAACAGGGATAATCCTGGATGATGAAACACAGCGCACTGATACAGTATAGAAGAACCTGAGGCACAGCAGCTCACCTTGCCCTGGCAACAACATAAGGCCTTTCCACAAGTCAGAAGGGGTCAGAAGACAGACAAAGGTCTGATAGAGGAGACTCTGAATGTGAACTTTGTTTTGCCTTTTCCTCTCTCGTTCCCTCTCAACGAGTGAGACAGTGGTGGGTCTTGCTGCTGCACGATGCCGTACAATGAAATTAAAAACTTTTCTTTCCTTTTTTATAGGATAAATCTTGATGGGACTGACCCTGCAGCTTCTGAAGAGAAATGAAAAGGCAGTCTGAGCTGGCGGAGAGGCTGAAGTGCTGCTACGGTGTGAGATAATGAACCTGCTCATGTGTTTGTGTTGTGTGTTCCTGGATCTAACAACAGTCTATAGTAAGTACAATGTTTTTTTATTATTATTCCCGCAGGATTTTAAGGTCAAAGTGTTTCCCAATTAAAAAGAAAACATTCATTAATATTAGAAAAGTTAGAAAGTAAAAGACAAGTATCTGGTCAGCATCTATTATTTGTTTCATAAATAATAAAAGGGGAAAAACGCTTATTCATTTTACAAATTTCGAGAGGTTGCTTTTCTGATGATCAGTTGGACGATCTGGACTTTGAGCATGCAAAGCACACACACAGCTCCCTTCCTTCTGCATCCTGTGAGTCATTTTGCTGCAGAGAGAGTCCATGCAATGCAACAACAACACAATTCTGCAAAAAAAAAAAAAAAGGGAACATGCATCAACAACAAAAACATCACCACTATTTTCAGACCCTGGGGTGTTGCATTATCCCCACATTGGATGGAGGAAGAAAAAACTTGGGGCCTATTTTTAAAGATTCAGAAAAACTGCAGGCTTTTTAGGGTTTTAATTAGGAGGAAAATGCTGCAGAGATCGTTGCTATGGTTCCACAACGTGAGGATGATTTTGCATACAGTCGTGACATGCGTTACCCACAATWCAACATTTCAGAGGTGCAGTTTCAACGCAGCCGGATTCTGTTTGGCGTCGGCTCTCGTAATAACATGAACAGAACATCAGTTGCTGCTTTTATGGCAGGGAGTGTTTGATGCATCGGCTGACAAAAGCATCTCAGTTCTCAGGTGGAGAAATGAAGTTTCTCCAGATAACACAATCTAATAAGTATTGTAGGTCAGACTTTATTAGACAGTAAGTTGAAATTTGTGTTGCTACAGTATGAGATGGTTTATGTTAAAAAAAAAACTTTTAGGAAAATGTTGGTTTACTTCATGTTGCTTCTTTTTTTCTTTCAAATCCTGGTCGTCTTTACTCACAATACTGTTTTTTAAACAGAACTATTAAAAAATGTAATGTTTTTCTAATGCTTGAAGGGGGTTTTAGGGTTTAAACGTTTCTTTTTCTTTCGTATTTCGATAGGCAGAAGTTAGATCATTTCCTTTGAATCAAGCTGTTGAACACTTCACTGCCCTGGAAATGTGTGTGTTTCTGTGTGTGTGACAAAAAAAACTGCACATTGTGCAGAGTGTATATTTACAAGAATGTGTGCTAAATTCTTTCCATACATCAATGAATTTAAAACTGTTTTTTAAATATGATGATAGAAGCACAAATCATTTACCAACTAAATGATTATTTTTAAAAGGGTAAATTTCAATACAGTAGTCAAATCACAGAAAAATAATTTACAAATTCACCCAGTGTTTTTAACAAACATATAAGAACATGGATGTACAACGAGGAAAATAACTCATTCACACGTGTAATAAACAAAAAAGAATGAACACACACCCGCACCCCAACTCAACACTCCACTGCATCAATAACATGTATACAATCACTTGGGTTCTAAGTTAATGAAATAGGAAAAAAGTTTGTCATTTGTGGAAAGATTTGGCAGTAAAAAGCCTCATTGTGTATAATTTTCTCCATTTAAAAAAAATGACGCCTTAAAGCCAACAGGAGATAGAAGGACATTTAGCAGCTTGCTAATGTAACAATAAGGAACATCTTGCAAGTAAGGAAGTGAAAGCTATGATGTCCTTTTACAGTATATAAAACTAATGATCATGATGATTGCAGAAGGATTTGTTTTCCCTTCCTTGTCTTGAAGTAAAGTTATTTGACCCTGACTCTTGCCAGGTACAGTGAGGGAAATACAGTAAGTGTTTGATCCCTTCCTGATTTTGCAAGTTTGCCCGCTTACAACGACATGAGCAGGCTATAATTTTAAGGGTAGTTTAATTTTAACAGTGATAGATAGAATATTAAGAATAAATCCAAAATTTATCCTGATTGTTTTTTATATATATTCTATCTTTTGCTGTTAAAATTAACCTACCATTAAAATTATACACTGCTCATGTCATTTAAAGTGGGCAAACTTGCAAAATCAGCAAAGGATCAAATACTTGTTTCCTCCACTTTATACTGGTATATATACTAAACAAAAATTCACTATAAATCACAGAGTCCTTCTCATCTTCTCTGCTCACCTTTACCGTGTTGTTCTGTTTATTTGCAAGAGCTGGTTCTCACTGTTCTCATACTGAGTTCGACTGCGTGGCCCGAGGTCAGCGCACTAGAGTTCAGCCGTTATATAAGGCAGGCGGGAGAGTCCCCGCTGTAATATTTCAGAAGCCAGAGTGAAGCAGTGTCACTGGGGTGGGTGGGGAGGGTGGTGGTGTTGCATTACCTTTATTACACAGAGGCCTCACAGTCAACAAAAATCCACCAGCTCATAGGCCAGGGTGTATGGGCTGGAATGGGAGTGGGGGGTTAGAGTGATGGATTAGTCTGACTGCTATCATTGTTGTTGTTGCTCACTGAAGGTTGTCCATGTTTTATACAGTGACTGATATACAAATGCAAACATTTATTTATTTATTTATTTATTTATTTATTTATTTATTTATTTATTTATTGGTGTTTAAAGCAGTTTTAATAGTTAAAACATCTATAAATCAAACAGGCTCAAATACCTTGCATGTGTCAACAAGTTTTCCCAGACGAATCAAACACTCACACAGCTCGTGGCTCCTTGTCTTGTGTTTCAGGCTGTGTGTTTATGCAGGAGCGCATCGTAGGCGGTCACCCAGCTGCACCAAACTCCATCAGGTACATGGTGTCACTGCAGACCTCTTACGGCCAACACTTCTGTGGGGGATCCCTGGTTCACCGGTACTGGGTTCYGACCGCGGCGCACTGTAACATCGGGTAAGATGGTTCGCAGTTTCTGTCATCTGTAAAATGTGACAGTCCAAGGAGAGATTTTAAACTCGTTTCTGCTTTTATAGTTCTGTACTGGGATGTTGGAAAAGCTGGCAAGATTCATTTATTTCTTACAAAATAAAGAAACACAACAATGCAGCCGTTTAAAAGTGAATCAGCACCTGGATACAGTTGAGTCAGCTGGCCTTGGCGCAGCATCCTATTTGTGTGCAAGTTACACAGGAAGACAGTGAAGTTACAATGTGGCTCACAGGTAGACTCTGTTCACCGACAGACAAACATGTCATGATGGTCTGAGTGAAGTTTGGTTCAATATGCTGGATGTCTCATATGTGCCAATTAACAACTCAGTAAAGTACAAAAATGACTATTATGATTATGCAACAGAGAATATGATGGTAATTAGTGAACATTTGTGCTGTATGAGTTGGTGAGCATGATCTAAAATAAGAATGCATTGTTTTTTAGGGCAGACCAGATGCTGATAGTTGCAGGCAACAACAGAGTGAATACGTTCGAGGGCACTGAGCAGTATGCTAAAGCCCACAGGCTGCTCATTCATCCACTGTACAACAGAAGCACCAACAATGCTGATATCATGCTCATTAAGGTACTGCAAAGAATTGTCCATTTTAGCCATAAGTTTATCTGTTTCTAACTAAAATGTGTTCTATAATTGGTATGTTTTCAGTAGGTTGGGTTGATTTTTGGTGCTTTTCATGAACAGCAGCATTTGAAGGCTGCAAAACCATGAATACATGTTGAGTGAGTGAAAACTGAGTCATAGTATAGTTTCCTGCTTACTGCTTCTTCTGTATGTTGCAATCAATCTAGTGTATATTTTAATGCTTCATATATCAAAAATTTAGGCTCGATCAGGAATAGTGTGCTATCGCTTCTATTTAAAACTTCATGCTTTTTGAAATATTTTACTTTGTTTACCAAAAAATCCTTATTAAAAATGCATTGAATTTTTTTTTCAGTTTCTTTAAAAGTAATATTATCTGATTTATACTTCAGCTTCCTTGATCTATTTTTGTCTTCGCCATTTAGCATTTAGCTACTGTCTTTAGCTTTTAGCTATGGTTTGCTAAACATTTCTGTTCTCCTTTTACTTTTAACAGTTCAGTTTCAGTCTCTTCAATTGAAATTTCAGCAGTCAGTATTCATACTGCTTTCATTTATTTTACTTTTGATTTTACTAAAAATCAAATGTATTTAATTCTTTCATTATTTATTCTTTATCAAACACTACAAAAAGAAGCACATTTTGTTTTTGTTAACTGTACTGCTTTTTGTTTCTTTGGTTTGATAATTCAGATCTTTTGAAGTGGGGTTAGTTATTAACAAATATCTTACCTGATGCAGATACCTCTCTGAACAGTTTCTGATGAGTAAATAGCTAATCTGAGCAGAAATAGACATAGTCATTTTAAACAACTCAAGTCTCAAACATTTTATAGCAATTTATGTGAACATTGTTTTATAAAGCTTTACATTGCTCTAACTTTTATATTATATGGATATTTACAAACATTTTTATGAATAGTTTTATAAGCAGCAGGTAGCTGCAGCACATTTTCCTGGGAGAGAAAAACTTATTGAGATTAAAAATCTTATCTACAGGAGTGTCCTGGCCAAAACTGGAAACAGAACACAAAGTTTCGTAAAACAAAATTTAACATAGGGTTGGGTGATAAATCAATTTAATCGATTCATTTAAATTTGCCATTTATAAAGATTTAATTTTGGGAAAATCTGGATTTTATTCCCACCAGTGCACTCTCAGGGGCTTCTGTAGTTCAGAGGTCACCCCACCTGACCCTCAAGATGCTTGGTACATGACATGACAATATGACAGCTGGCAGAGAGGATCTACTTCCCAAAAGTGTTCCTTCAGTTATCTGGAACTGGTTAGGTTTTGCAAACTTGGACTTAGTGCAACAAACTCCTCACTAAAAAATCTGTTTGAAGGCTCTTGCTTCAAAAAGCAGGAGTACAAGTTTGTTTCAACACCTGAAACAGAGGCACTCCGTTAAGTGGGAAACAAAATCGATTAAAATCGAAAATCGAGTTTGAGATGAAAAAAATCTGAGATTTTTTTTGAGCCATATCGCCCAGCCCTCCTTTAACAACAGTGACATTTAACAACCACTTAACAGTCTTTGTTCCACCGGTGGGCAAAAACGGTGCAATTCATGCTTTTAAATGTTTCTGGATATTTCCAGACAGACCAGGGGCTTTTTTTTAAACCATAGTGTCAGACAACTTCCTCTAATTCTTACATTTAACTCAACACACTTACAAAAAATACAAAAATTTAAAATGCTTTTAAGGAATTTCATGGGTGACTGTTTAGAAAAAACACATAGCAACACAAAATCAATAAAATACTTATCTTAAAATAWGGTAAACCAAAGAATATATCAGATGTGATATTTTTGAGGTTGGAGTTGTTTTAAGATTGCAGTTAGGCCTGGCTTTGCTCAAACCTACTATAGCTTGTCTAAACGGTCAGAATTCAACTCTGCTTCTCCAAAGTGAAGTTGTTCAAAGAGCTATCTCTAACAGGTAAGATATTAATTCTTCACACCCCTGCTACAGAACCAAACCTCAACAGATCTCCCTGTAATGCACTCAAACAGTCCCTTTGTTTTCTGCCCAGCTGCGGGGCCCTATGATCCTGAACAAGTTTGTGGCCTTGGCGCCTCTTCCCAGACAGGGAACGGGCGTGGTCGAAGGTCAGACATGTCGGGTGTCTGGGTGGGGCTACGACGGCGCAGGCGGAGGCCAGGTCCCGATGATGCTCAGGACCGTCACGGTGCCCGTGGTCTCAGCGGCMAGATGCAACAGCAGCGACTCGTTTGATGGAAACATTACAGCAAACATGATCTGTGCTGGAGACCAKGCTGGGGGGAAAGATGCATGCAAGGTACTCGCAAAGGATTTCTGAAAGCTATAGCAGAAAGTAACAGTGAGTCAGTGTTGTAGCCAGGTTTTGAGATACCATGTCACATATCTGGGGAACTCATCCCCCCTGACCACCAGGAGGATTCAATTCATCATGTCAGCATTTGTTCATCTTCGAGAAAGGTCAGCCTCCAGAACGGTATWAGGTGTGATCGTTGCAGAGGAGACAGAAGCTGCATCAGGCCTGAAGACAAAACTCATCCGTACGTGCAAACAGCAGCATGCCCAGATCTGCTCCTGTGCTGCACTGAGAAATAGATTCTCCTCAGCTGTTGGTGCCAGAGCATGAATTACATAAAATCCAGTGTGTGTAGATGTCTCCAATACACTTTCTTGCCCCCAGGTAAGGAACTGAACGACTAATTAAAGATTGCTATATTTAACGCTGCAGTGGGAGACGTTTCAAGTGATTAGGATGAATTATTCCGAGGGATTTGACATTACGAAACAACTGATGGGATAGTGAACTCTCATCATCTGATCAGCTTTTGTGGGTTTTTCATTTTTATTTTTATGGTAATATTTGTGCAAAATGATCGATTGAATTTGACGCCATGCATGGAGAACACAATGCTACGCTTTAAATGTAACACAACTCCATTTCCCACCCCACCCCCTTTGCTTTGTTTTGTGTTCAGCACAACAGACAAGTAATCCTACGTGACTGAGACATTCAAGCCGCAGGATTAGCAGCCATTTGTAGAAACATTTTCCCCACAGGCACCAGACGCACATGGCTTTACGTGAAACCGTAAGCTTCTTCGCATTGTCGCTCAGTAACTRATCAGAGGGTGTGGTCTTGTTCTCGCAGGGGGACTCGGGCGGGCCRCTGGTGTGCAGGGGCCGGGTGTACGGCCTGGTTTCGTGGGGCAAGGGCTGCGGCGACACCAAGTATCCCGGGGTGTACACCGCCGTGTCCAGGTTCCGCCGCTGGATCGACCAGACCATCTACGGGTCGCATCTACGCTGCTCCAGGTACAGATAGAGGCTGAAGAGCGGGAAATAACATTTCACCTGGGAAATGGGACAACTGATGTGAACCAGCTGGTTCAGATGCAGCGTCGCATCTAAAACTCTCCTGATGATTCCTGTTTAAAAAGTCATYGTTCTAACAAAGCAGCCGCTACTTGAAGATTAATCTTTTAGAGCAATTTGAGAAACAGCTTCAGCCAGTCATGGACCGTGAGGAAAAAAAAAATCACTTTTAAGAAAATTAACATATAGAGAAGATGATGAATTGTGAGCTTCTCAGACATTTGTAACAACCTCAGCAAATAAATAAATAAATATAATAAACAATTAAAGACTTGAGAGTTTATTCTGTGCTGTGAAACTGAGCTTCTGTTCATTTTCATAGGGTGGGGTCAAAGGTCAGCGCTCTTTAGGACATTGTAAACTGAATGAATGAATGAATGAATGAATGAATGAATGAATGAATGAATGAATGAATGAATGAATGAATGAATGAATGAATGAATGCATAGGTTTTAATAGGAATTAAAATGAATAACTACCTGACAGGTTAAAAGTAAAAAAAAGAGAATGACTGATCAACTACTTGAACGGAAAAATAAAGAAACAAAAAAAAATTGAATGAAAAACAAACAAATGAATGAATTAATGACACTCTGGCTAAATAAATAAATGCATGAACAAACAAACAAACAAATTAGCCAAATTTGATGAATAAATGCAAAATAAACAGGCGGTGTTTGAATATAAATTTATTTCCGTAAATTTTTTTCTCAGTAATCCTCATTTTGACGTTTATGACCAGTTTGTTGACTGTATTTTTTTTTTGTTGTTGTTGTTGTTTATCCCTCATAGGGGTCACCACAGAGAGCAATGTCATATGAAATATTTGGTATTTGTTTTACAGAAAATGCCTTTTCTGATGCCACCTGGGCTCAAACCTGCGGCCTCAGAATTAAAAAATTGTGGCMCCGATCACTGACCACAACCCCGACTGGGCCACTTGCCCTGTTGGTTACATTTTATTGTTTCTGTTTGTTTATTAATTTAAATTATTTTAAACCAGTTCAGGTGCTAACACAACCCCTGACTGTGAAACAGTGTATTTCTAATGTATATGTCTCTTAYTGAGATGCAGATATAAAAGGATGGAACTCCAAAGGGAGTAGGTGTGCCATACCTGCAGGTCCTGTGTAAATGGATGCAGTGCATCAATCAACTCCTCTGCAAGATATTATCTGACCTCTCATTGTCTGGCTGACAAGATTTGTTTAGGTTCTTCTGAGAAAGAGATGTCCTGAGTAGGAGAAGTCCTTTCATGTGATTGCTCATCATGAAAACACATGCATGTCAATAATGGACACCAGCAGGCAGAATAATCCCTCTAGGGTTAGTTTAATCCAGCCGGTCTGAACTATCTGATCTGGCCAGCGTACAACTTCAGTGTTACTGTAACATCACAACGGGTTCAAAGTTACGTTGCAGAACAAAGGGATTCCCAAATGTGTATTTTTTTTGTTGCTGATTCATGTGTTTGATCACTTTTGTTGTTTAGAAATAATAGTTTGAGTTTATTAAAAAAACTGAGTTTTAAAACATGTTTGTAACATTAGGGAGAAAAAGAACATAAAAAATTAAAGGCCTAGCATGTCTGGGAGGAACATATATCATCCCACCTTTTGTAGCAGATTTTAGACTAAATCACCTCATGAGAACTGAGAGCATTGTGTCAAACTTYGTGCAAGTTATGTATAAATCTTTCACAACACCTCTTAGAGCTCAAGATGACTCACAGTTACTACTTAATCAGCTCAATGTCTCTGAAATTAACTGAGCTGTAGCCGTTTTTGTGTTTCCGAATGTCAGTTGGCAGCAGAGAGTCATCTATAATTGGACTGACTCCAAGAGTTAAGGTAGCAACATACCAGCTAAAAACGAAATGGCTGGAAACAAAACAAAATGGTATGAAAAGGCTAGACCAGGGGTGTCTAGTCCTGGCCCTCGAGGGCCACCACCCTGCATGTTTTAGAAGTTTCTCTGCTCTAGCACACCAGATTTGAATGAACGGGTGATTACCAGGCTTCTGCAGAACGTGAAGAGGTAATTCAATCAGGTGTGTCCAAGCAGGRAAACAAGTAAAACATGCAGGCCCTTCAGAACCAGGGCTGGGCATCCCTGGGTTTGATAGATGGTAAAAGAAACATTTGGACTTGAATGCTAAAAACAGAAAATGACAAGCTAAAATTAGCAAAATACAAGCTAAAAGTAGCAAAAGACAAGTTAAAAGTAGCAAAAGACAAGTTAAAAGTAGCAAAAGACAAGTTAAAAGTAGCAAAAGACAAGTTAAAAGTAGTAAAAGACAAGTTAAAAGTAGCAAAAGACAAGTTAAAAGTAGCAAAAGACAAGTTAAAAGTAGCAAAAGACAAGTTAAAAGTAGCAAAAGATAAGTTAAAAGTAGCAAAAGACAAGTTAAAAGTAGCAAAAGACAAGTTAAAAGTAGCAAAAGATAAGTTAAAAGTAGTAAAAGACAAGTTAAAAGTAGCAAAAGACAAGTTAAAAGTAGTAAAAGGCCAGCCAAAAGCTAAACAACTTGCTTAGACAGCGTAAACAGCTGGCTAAAAGTAGCAAAAAACAAGAGCAGTAAAAAATATTGCTAAAGCTAGTAGTATAAGTATTAGGGTCACACAAAAAWATATATATATTGTTTTAAATTATGATATTAAAGTCATAATATTACAAGAAAAAGAGTCATATTATTTTTAAAAAGTAATAATCTTATTTCCGTTCCTGATTTTTTTAAACTCATTTCCTCATCATTTTCCACCTGCTGTGAACAGCCGTGCACGTCACTGTGTTTATGAAGAAGTTATTCCACGATGACATTTGGGTCACTGTTTATGCTTTCATCCGAATTACAAAGTCAATGCAGCCATTAATTACAATAGGCCTACTGTCTGCTGCAGTTTRTCATAGTTGTTTGCACAATCATTTCAAAGTCCTGCTATTGATAATTTGATGCTAATGTGCTAAAAGATTAAGTATTTCTTTTAACTAAAACTAAAGAATAAGTTCACGGGTCACTCAACTTACCTCATTTTAGGGTAAGACTGCTTTTTTGTATGAAGGTTCTTGTAATATTACGACTTTATTCTCGTGCGTCTTTATTCAAATACAACTTTATTTTCGTAATGTTACGACTTTAATGTCGTATATTATGACTTTATTCTTGTAAAAAAAATTTAAATCTTGCTGTGTGGCCCCTATACTCCATTGTACTTAACAGAACGATGTTCCATTAAAGTTTCGGACAAAATGAAGAGATCTCAGTGCGTTTTTATGGGGAAAATATTTGCAAATAACGTCAAATAATTTGAGAAGTATCTATGAAAGTTCCAAACCAAAAGTCATAAAATCTATCTCCTGAATGAGCTGCATGTTTTGACTCGTGAAATAGCACAAAGTGTGCAAACGTGATTCTAAAAATAAATAATTTTATTTAAAAAAATTAAATTAAGAAAAACCACAGTGTAAATGCTGAGTCAGCATTCATAGCCTACCTAAGAATATGAAAAGACCAAAAACTGTGCTCATAAATAAGGAGCATGCGCCACTGAACCAAATGCCACAGCGAATGAAAGCAGCGCCATCCTCTGGTGGGGGTCCACACGTTGGTGGGGGGGCTGAAGTCCTCGTCAAAAGCAAAGCTGATGAAAASCTAGGAGGCCTGGGAACTGATGCCCCTGACTCGTCGAGTGGTGGCGCAGATTCCCCTGATTCAACTGTGAGTTCATTTGTGTTGTATTTTGGTTTGGACGCCCCCGGACAGCTGAATGTTGTAGTCTCTCTCTCTCTCTCTCTCTCTCTCTCTCTCTCTCTCTCTCTCTCTCCAGGTCTCCCCGGGATCCGTGTTTTGCATCGCGCCTAATTTGCATTTCTCCCTCAGATTTTCCGAGCGAAAAAGCACCAGCGCGCGCGCGCATCTCGGTCTTTTCTCTGCTCTCTGTGCTGTAGTATGACGCGCGCGCGCGCCTCCATTTCCAAAACGCGCGCAGAGACAACAACGCCTCTGGATTTTGTGTGTGGGCTCCTTGTGTATTTTTTATTTTATTTTTTTAAAATAATGTTGCCGAAGCTCCACGACCGAGGAATCTAAAAAGGTTTTTTGTTTTTGGTTTTGGTTTTTTTCTTTGTTTTTCTCCAGATGGACGGAGACGCGTCCTCGGGGTAAACAGAAAGGAATAGGTCGTGCCAACAGATTGCTTTTGTTTCATTTTATCTTTTATTTTCTTATTAATGTTTATCACCGACCACTGGGTTTAGTCGTTTGGGACAAACAGAAAAAAAAAAATCCCCCCTCATCCCCAGCTCGACACTGTTCCATCTGGTGCGCCTTGGTGATTAAGACGCATTTTGGAGATGTCGGAAGTGCTGCCTTTCAACGAAGAAAACATGAGTCATTATGGAAATGAGGGCGATGAGGGACACCTTTCCTTCACCTGTCGTCTTCAAGACACCAACAACTTCTTCAGTGGCCCACAGAACAAACGTCCGCCCAAACTCGGACAAATAGGCAGGAGCAAACGAGGTAATTATATAATTAAGGCGTTTTCCCCCGTCTCCTCTTCCCTGCCGCTTGTATAGTATAGTGATGTGGTGAATGCGCACTTTGTGGTTCCCATGAGTGAGGATTATTTAATTGTTTTTGTTTAGTTTTTTTTTTCCTAGATCAGGTGTCATGTTTGGGGTGAAGATGAGAGATAAAGTGTTGTTTCTGCATGCAGGGATGATGGCTGAGTCTTATTCTGTTCACACAGCAACACGAGTTGAATGCGCATTGCGTGCCGTTTATTGCCATTTGAATGTTGCCTAACAGACTTTATGTCTCCTCCCTGATGAAGGGATGCCATATTTTCCTTTTATAATTATTCTGATCTGCGTGCTTGCATGAGAAGATTACACTTTTTGGTTTGTTTGTTTGTTTGTATTTTAATTTATTGCATTCCAGCTGAAGACAGCAGTTCAAACATTTAGGAGCTGCACCTGTAGGAGACGCACTCACACAAACATCTGCAGCACCAGAAGCACAAATGGTGCACATTTGCACACATCTTTTGTTTGAATTCACACACACACACACACACACACACACACACACACACACACACACACACACAC